AGATTTGCTCTAAATTCTTTGGTTTCAGAGATATGAGCCAAAAACTGCATTTTACCCTATGTACTATTTTTTAGCCATGTCGGCCATCTTGGTTGGTTGGCGGGGTCATCAGACACATTTTTTAAACAAGATACCCTAATGATGATTGTGGACAAGTTTGGTTAAATTTGTCTTATTAGTTTCAGAGGAGAAGATTTTTGTAAAAGATTACAAAAATTTACGAAAAATGGTTAAAAATTGACTATAAAGGGCAATAACTCCTTAAGGGGTCAACTGACCATTTTGGTCAAGTTGACTTATTTGTAGATCTTACTTTGCTGAACATTATTGCTGTTTACAGTTTATCTCTATCTATAATAATATTCAAGATGATAACCAAAAACGGCAAAATTTCCATAAAATTACCAACTCAGGGGCAGCAACCCAACAACAGGTTGTCCGATTCATCTGAAAATTTCAGGGCAGATAGATCTTGACCTAATAAACAATTTTACCCCATGTCAGATTTGCTCTAAATGCTTTGGTTTCAGAGATATAAGCCAAAATCTACATTTTACCCCTATGTTCTATTTTTAGCCATGGCGGCCATCTTGGTTGGTTGGCCGGGTCACCGGACACATTTTTAAAACTAGATACCCCAATGATGATTGTGGCCAAGTTTGGTCAAATTTGGCCCAGTAGTTTCAGAGGAGAAGATTTTTGTAAAAGTTAACGACAACTGACGACGACGGACGATGGCGACGACGAAGGACGACAAGTGATGAGAAAAGCTCACTTGGCCCTTTGGGCCAGGTGAGCTAAAAATGGGTAAAAAAAATCATTATTTAAGGGCACTAAATCCTATATTGAGTCAACTGATCATTTCAGAAATATTGACTTATTTGTAGATCTTGTCTGACTGATAACTTTTTACTTTTTAAAGGGGATTAGCTGTCAAATTCATGTTCACCGATTTGACAAAAATTCTCATATTCGACTTATAACATACTAAAACGTATATCAAAATTATAAAAAGTCTAAAATAAACAATTTACGATGCATGAATTCCATAATATGTATCAGCATTTTGTGTGTATTTCAGTCTAGACGCCATCTAATTAACCATCGAGGTGACCTCCGAAAACTGCCGATGGTCATATAACCCCGATATAAACATAAATATAAATATAAATAGATAGCGAACTCGTGCAATTGGATTTTTTCTAGGTCTGTTTGATTTCATATTATAGGTTAAAAAAATATGTTAATCATTGTTTTTACCTGTATAAGAATGAGATTTTGTGGATTAAATCAGTCAACCAAATGGTTTACCCTGGTTTCACTTCAAATGTTGACATTCTTTTCCTTTTAATAGCTAAACATGCCTAGTTCATGCATAACACATCTCTAGCTAAGGGGTTAAATTAAGTTCACATGAATACGGTTTCAATGAGGTCGTATTATTCACTTGCAAGTGAATAATTCATCAGCGATGTTTCTTACCTTATTTTGACAAAATTTAACCAAACTGGCTGCTAAAAGCGAATTATTATTTCACTATTTCACTTTCATTGATGATTGAACAAAAAAAAATCATATTTTCATTTTTTTCTATCTCGTAGCTAATGCCCCTTTAAAGTTTCTATCTATCTGTTATAAATTTCAAGATAATAGGCAAAAATTTAAATCAATGGTAAAATTTGTTGTTTAATGGTAATAACTCCTAAAAAGAAGTCTTCTGACAGTTTTGATGTAAACAGACAGAAGGTGAATCTTATCATTTTGAACATTGTTGCCCCTGTCAGATTTTCTCTATCTATTTTGTGTTTCAGTTGCAGTTTAATTACACATTTGCCATATCTCCTTTCATTCACATTGAAATTATTTATTCATACACACCTGTTTAACATTTCCTAGACAGCTCATGAAATTTTTGTTGCCTATGTTTTTATAGTCTTCCTTACCAAGGAAAAACACAAATAAGAAAAATAATATACCTTATCTTTAAAGCACTACATGTATAACATTCCAAAAGCCAAAGCAGAGCTGAATAAGAAATCTTTTATATATTCAGGATCTGTTTTATGGAATAACTTACCAGTACCCTTGAAAAAATCAACTGCAGGTACAAGTGCATTCAAAACAGATATAATAAAATGCTCCGCTGGGCGCAGCTTGATACAACCGCAGAGGTCGAACCCTGAACAGTTGGGGCAAGTATGGACACAACATTGAAGCTTGATACAGCATTGAATTTGGATTGTGATTAAATATTTGACACAGCATAGGTTTCTGACACAGAATGAATGTGGTCTAAGAACTTGAAAATTTTTAATTTACCTATTCAAACCATATCATTATTATTTGCTTCTATATATAAATCAGAAATAACCAATTTAAAATTTAAAATCCCCCCCCCCAAATTTTTTGAACCCCCTTATGATTCATCACCCCCAAACTCAATCCCAGTCTTCCCTTTGTGGTATGGTACCTTGCAGTACAATTTCAGAGAGATACATACACTTGAACACAAGTTATTGTCTGGAAACTAGAAAAATGCTTGTTTTTTGGCCCCAAATTCCAAAACGTTTAAGACAATTACCCCTAAACTCAAACCCAGCTTTCCCTTTGTGATATGGAACCTTGTAGTACAATTTCATAAAGATCCATACACTTACACACAAGTTATTGTCCTGAAACTAGAAAAATGCTTGTTTTTTTCCCCTTTTTGGCCCCTAATTCGTACAATTTTGAGGCAATTACCACCAAAATCAATCCCAGCCTTCCCTATGTGGTATGGTACCTTGCAGTACAATTTCAGAGAGATCGTTACACTTCAACACAAGTCATTGTCTGGAAACTAGAAAAATGCTTATTTTTGGCCCCTTTTTCCTAAACTTTTTGGGCAATTACCCCCAAACTCAATTCCAGCTTTCCCTTTGTGATATGGAACCTTGTAGTACAATTTCATAAAGATCCATACACTTACACACAAGTTATTGTCATGAAACTAGAAAAATGCTTGTTTTTGCCCCTTTTTTGGCCCCTAATTCCTAAAATTTTGAGGCAATTACCCCCAATATCAATCCCAGCATTCCCTTTGTGATATGGAACCTTGTGGTACAATGTCAGAGAGATCCATACCTAACACACAAGTTATGTCTGGAAGTTGCAAAAATGCTTATTTTTGGCCCCTAATTCCTTATCTGTTGTTACCATAACCCCCAAAATCAATCCCAACCTTCCTTTCCTGGTATTGAACCTTATGGTAAAATTTCATAGAGATCCATTCACTTAAACTAAAGTTAGAGTGAGAAAACCATCGTGTCTACGGACGACGACGACGCCATACCAATATACGAACGCAGAATTTTTTTGCGGTCGTATAAAAAAATACTTGTTGGAACAATAAGAAGCTGTGTAATTTTATATGCATAATATTTTTTCACACACTTACTTACAATTTAAATATTGTTTGAGGTAATTTGAATGATGCCAATACTATATGAATTCAATATTTTTACCTGTTTTGAAAATTGTATATTTCATAACAATTTCTCATTTTTCTTATGTGTGTGTTTATTCAATTTTTTTTAATTCTTTTTTTGTCATATTTCAATGTATTTCATGAGGGCCTCATGGAAGATTAGTTTTGTAGCTAACTGTGTAGCCCTCTTTAAATCAGAATTATTATTACAACAAGAGTGCACACGCTGAAATGTCTCGCCTTCTTTAATAATCATTAATATTATGTTGATAGTCCTAAATATAAAGCTTTATTACAACTGTCACATAAACTTAATATTAACCAAGTAAACTAAACATTGACCAATGAACCATGAAAATGAGGTCAAGGTCAGATGAACCATGCTAGGCAGGCATGTACAGCTAACAATTCTTCCATACAACAAATATAGTTGACCTATTGCTTATAGTTTAAGAAAAACAGACCAAAACACAAAAACTTAACACTGAGCAATGAACCTTCAAAATGAGGTCAAGGTCAAATAAAACCTGTGTGACTGACATATAGATCATAAAATATTTCCATACACCAAATATAGTTGAACTATTGCATATAGTATTAGGAAAAAAGACCAAAACTCAAAAACTTAACTATAACCACTGAACCATGAAAATGAGGTCAAGGTCAGATGACACCTGCCAGCTAGACATGTACCGGTACACCTTACAATCATTCCATACACCAAATATAGTAGACCTATTGCATACAGTATAAGAAAAACAGACCAAAACACAAAAACTTAACTATAACCACTGAACCATGAAAATGAGGTCAAGGTCAGATGACACCTGCCAGTTGGACATGTACACCTTACAGTCCTTCCATACACTGAATATACTAGACCTATTGCTTATAGTATCTGAGATATGGACTTGACCACCAAAACTTAACCTTGTTCACTGATCCATGAAATGAGGTCGAGGTCAAGTGAAAACTGTCTGACGGGCATGAGGACCTTGCAAGGTACGCACATACCAAATATAGTTGTCCTATTACTTATAATAAGAGAGAATTTAACATTACAAAAAATCTTAACTTTTTTTTCAAGTAGTCACTGAACCATGAAAATGAGGTCAAGGACATTGGACATGTGACTGACGGAAACTTTGTAACATGAGGCATCCATATACAAAGTATGAAGCATCCAGATCTTCTACCTTCTAAAATATAAAGCTTTTAAGAAGTTAGCTAACGCTGCCACCGCCGCCGGATCACTATCCCTATGTCGAGCTTTCTGCGACAAAAGTCGCAGGCTCGACAAAAATGTATTACATTATACTTCATTAAAACACATGTGATAATTCACACTGATTTATAATCATTATTTCAGATTTAATTTCTAGTTCTAATTTTCAGTCCATTCTTCTGTGCTGGCCATGTTTGGAATGTGGTTTTGGAAATCAGAAATTTTGTGATTGTGTTTTCTGGTAAACAGTGCAAAAGGAAAACCATTTTTGTAAGGATGATAATAATTGTGCCAATACATTTTTCCTACCTGCTGAAATACAAAATGTATGATACTTCCATACAACATCTGTTGGTTTCCTTTATCACAGCCCTGAAAAGTATGTTTATAATTTTCTTATTTGACATGAAACAACAAGCAGTAAATTTTGATAAATTAAAGCTAGCAATCATCTAATAAAATATCTCAATAATAGTTTTTTTCATATTATAAACCAAGGTGAATAAATTACTTACTTATTATACTTATATCAATTATCAGGTATTCTACAAATGTAAAAAAAACACCCCCAGAATATCACACAAGTCAATAGTCAAATATTTTGGCATGTGAGTGAAAAATACATGATGAAAAAGTCTGATTGTGTGAATATCACTATCTAATATTTTACAGAAGCAAAATAATAAAAACATGTTAATCACATGGTATGAAATTAGCATCAATCTTATTGTTTTGGTATGATGGCACTTGTGAGTCTTCATCCAATTTACTAACAGCAACTTAATCAAATTTGAAAAGTTTTGTGGAGAGCTTGACAGGGTTATACTGACATAAGGAAATCCTACAATGAAGCTGACATTGTAAATCTGTAACTAATGGCCTTTTTCTGACGCAGACAGTATAATTTCGGTTTGTGACCCATTTATAAAGGACGCTTCACTATGGTAACGACATGCATGATGTCACAAATCTTTACTCTGATTGGACGAAATAACGGAATTGAACAAAAACCAACAAAAAAAGATATATGCTACAATAAAAGGAAAACATTACGGACATAAAATCAAACTTAAAAATATTATCCAGATAAATAAAAATAAATTCGGCAGGTGAAGAAGGTGTCATTATCACCTCTGTCAAATTGTTTGGATTTTGTAGGCTTAAGAAGGTTCATTAGATTCAGGTCAATTAAGCTATTGATAGCTCAGTGCTAAAAATTATATCTTATCGACTAAAACTTCCAAGGCGTAATAATAATCTCAAAGAGTACAACATATTATACTTGAAATAAAGAATGTCAAAATACCGGTACATATATCGCAAATTCAATTACTTGTCAAAAGCTGTATTAGATCATCTCTCTTTGGCGTCCGTCCGTCCCCGATATACACACCGAAATAGGTTGTATCTCTAATTGTTAAAGTTGTTCTTGACGTATAGTTATAATTGATATGTCTTCACGGATCTAAACTGTTTCAAGTTTGTTATTCATTACAGATTGTAACCTACTAATATCTTAATGTGTATGTCTATTTCACAGCTATAGGTATATACTTCTTTATCCCTGAAAATACCTATATATATACATTTAGTTAAGTACCATGCAGTATAATTTTAATTCTTTAGAGAAAAGCGCATATACTCAACTTTAACAATCGTCAGCCTTTTGCCGTCAAATTGTGTGCAATTTTTTTAACTATGATTTAAAAAAACCTGATAAAGATTCATGGTTTGTTTTAAACTGTATGCTCACATCTGAATGCGTCAGATATCTATTTTAAAGATAGTACTTGTTTTTAATATGGCATCATTTAATACTGCTGTACTTTTATCCATGTTTTAGTTATAGATATTATACAAATATAGCCTTTGTATGAGGTCGATACAAGGATATATTGACCTGAAAGAAGTATATTGACTGAGGACGAAGTTATATTATTAATTTTCGACCATATTTGTATCAAAATCGTCATTTGATTTTGTTGGAATTTTATAGATATTATATTGTCTCCTTGACAATAACAACATATTAGTTGTTATTTCATTTACTTTTTTTTTGTTTGTTTGACATCTTATGTATTTGAAAAAAAAAATTGTCAAATAATCGATCACAGATGTCATTTGTTTCAAAACGTTGAACAATATCCTGAAATTTATTACATGACGTCACAAAGTATATCGGTTTTTAGATATTCTAAAAATAACCGTGCAATATGCTTTTTGCTGTGCAATATGCTTTTTGCTATCCGCCGTTTTCTCTCTACCTTCGAAAATATAGTTTAACATGTGACTATCCCTAAACGAATCAAATTTGTTAAAATATACGAATTAATAATATTAATAAATATCAATACTTTAGTGTTTTATATTTTATTTGAGATCATTTGTACTATTTGAGATCATAACTAGATGAAAAACTTATGCCTCATTGACCAGGTAAGCTCAAAATAAATATTTCATTGTAAGGAATAGTGAATAGACTGATATATTGTTTATTATATTCATTTCATTATAGAACATGTAGGATGACCAATATTTTCCTTAATAGTCATTTGTAATAATTCCAATGTCAAGCCTGCATGGCTCCTCTTAGTCAAGGATAACCACAATTCAGCTGTCCTCTTAACCTTGTTAAAGTAAAAGTTTTTTTCCTATCAGAAGGTTCCCAGAGTCATTAACTCGCTATTTTGGTAATTTTGTAAGGACTTAAAAATGGGGATCGTTTTTTTCTCACTGTCAACTCCCCCGTAGTAGTAGTGTTAAATTAAATTCAGAAGTCAAGAACCAGATTGGGGACAACTCACCAAGTGGGGAACTATTCCCCAATTGAGTAACAACCCTTCAATTGAGTAATCTTTTGACAGTGCTAAAATCAGTTTTTAGCTGAATTTTTTAACTTAAAATGGCACAAATTTATAGAAAATGGAACAAATTCTTCCAAAGACCCATATTTTTATTTTGGGTTTTAAAAAAGTTGGTAGCCTTGAAATTTGTCAATTTTTGGAAGTTTTCATAGGCTTTCTGAATTCTTAAATCTAGTTAGGGCTATTCATCCACAGGGGCTTGTTTAGTGGGTCAGATGAGGTAACATACTGTCAATGGCTAAGCTATTCTATTTAAAATTTATGTTTTATATAGGATAGCAACCGCCATTGACAGTAAAACCTCTTCTGAACCACTAAACAAGCCCCCGTGATTCATCTTTTAGAAAATTTGCTGCTTTTTTCATAAACATACATTGTTTTTTAACACTAAAAAAGTATCCCTCGTATCAGGGATTGTTACTCATTTGGGGAACTATTCCCCATTTGGTGGGTTGTCCCCAACCTGCGAAACAGGATTGATGATTTCCAGCATCAACAACAAGAAGTTTTATACCCATTTTTGTAAAATGTTGAATACAGTTTTGTCAAGGCCAAAAGTTTAAAACTGAAATGGTTTTAATGACTTAAAATAGCAAAATCCATAGTAATAGACCATGCAAAATGCATCTTTCGATTCTGATTTAAACCGGATGTATTAATTTGATTGTAAACTACAAAATGAATTTGGAATGACAATACGGAATTTCTTTATATCATCAAGTTGCAGTAAATATTCCAGTACCCGGTATTTACTTTTAAACTACTAAAGTGATTCATTATGATCGATAATTGTTGTTATTTGGCATGAAATAATGTTCTGTTTAACAATTAAGAGTATTGTCTTGTACTTGTTTAAATCAATAAAAGCGAATTTTTTCTTCATAATTGAATTTAAATTTTATTCTTTAATCTAAATTTTCATCAGCATTTGCTGAAAACTAATTAATACAATTAATCATCTCTCTAGATCAAGTGTTCACCTGTCAGGTGTCTCAACCTACCTGTACAAGTGATTAGTGATCATTTGCCAGATATCCCTCAGGGCTTTAAAACAGTAATCTGGAGGACACTTGGGATTATAATACAATAGGGGTTATGCAATTACATGCAATTGATTATAATTGCTCACAAAAATGGCAGAGACTATAAGAGAAACGATTTATTATTTAACAATGGCTGGGATCATTTGACTATGGTGAAAGATAGTTTATCAATGGCCGGGATCATTTGATGATGGCGGAAGATAGATAATCAATGGCAGGGATCATTTGACGATGGTGGAAGTTAATAAAAACGATGGCGATACGCCATCATAAAACAGGTCATGGAGATCCCTGAACAATCACTCCAATAAAGGAAAGGCACAACAAAAAACTACCTAGTACTGGAAAGGTATTCTGAAGGTAAACAAGATTAAACAGTTAAATATGCTACAAAGGTCACCTCTATTAAGCAAAAACATGTCACGTCTGGTTACTCATTTCTTGTCCTGCAGTAGTAATACATATGCATATTGAACCTCATTCAAAGGTCATCTCTCTTTTAAGGTCAGTTTTCTCTGGTCCTGAGGGTGACTATTATATACAGGTTTGACTGTATATGCTACATGGGTGGTTACTTAACTGTGTCACAGTGCTTTATGCCCTTATATTTTACAGTTATATGTTGTTTGTTTGTAGGAACAAATGTCAGGAACCTGTAATTCAGTGGTTGTAGTTTTATTGCTGTAAGTCATAAACAATTTTTGTTGATTATTTTTTAAATAAATCAGACCGTGGGTTTTCTTTTTTGAATTGTTTTACATTTTGTCATCACAAAGCCTTTCATAGCTTACTACATACAGTCTGGGTTTTGCTGCAGAATGAATAATTAATGAAGACCTATCCTTGTTCAAACATCTGATCCTTGGACAATAGATATTTCTTTGGCAATAATACCACATCTCCTTCTATTCAAATTAGAAATTCATATATGTGGTTGTTGGATGGACACCATCCCCACTCCCCTTAACAAAATTTATTGTGCATTAGCATAGTTGCTAACCCCCTTTTGGTGCAATCAGTGAACAAGTTTTGAGATTTTTTTTCTAATTTGTGATTTTTTTCAGTAATCATAATTTTTAACCATAATCATACCAATGACTCGGCACACTCTGATGAGTAAGTGATTTCCTTAATTACTGATTATCTAAACCCTTTGATGTCTATATCATATAAAGGGGAAGAGCTTATAGTGACTTGCTGGCATAGTTTTTTTCTACAGTAAATAAACTCATCTTAGATACCCAGATTTGAATTTTGTACGCCAGATGAGCATATTTCATCTGCAGAACAAATATTGTTTCACAAAAATATATGATTGAATTCAGAATAAATAGAGACCTTCCTCTCATGATATGTGACCACATATCCATGCAAAGGAGTAAGTTCATGAAGGGCTATAAATTTTCAGTCAATATAAGCCCCTAAAATGAATCAAAGAAAGCACAACAAAAAATTCATTAGTTCATAATTTTATATACTAAACTCATATAACAAGAACATAACGTCAAAAAATATATTTTTAGTATTTTTAGACCTAGACATTGATCAGACAGATTGAATTCAGAATAAATAGACATCTTCCTCTCATGATATGTGACCACATATCCATGCAAAGGAGTAAGTTCACGAAGGGTTAAAATTGGCCCTAAGATTTTGATGTTTTTTTTAATCAGACCAAAATACTACAAATTTCACATAGAAATCGTTGTGATATAACTATTAATATAAAATAACTTCTTTTTGGTAAATCACAATAAAAATGACGAAGAAATGACCCCTCAAGAATGCATTATTTGTGCTGTAATGTAATTTTAAGTCAAATTTTCGATAATTCTTAACAATTTTTAACATAGTTTACTTTGGCCATCATTTAAGAACCAATTTACGGCCATTTTGAAATTTTATGATAAAGTTGAAATTCAAGGCCATATTTGGCCTAAAGTTAACCTTGTCCTTTGCAAACTAACATGAAGTAATTGATTTATTATCCGAAAAACACCCCTGCACAAAATTCTGCCAATAATTTGACCTTGATCTTTGATGTAGTGACATCAAAAAATCAATACGGACCTTCCTCTCATTAGATGCTAGGGTATATCCCAGTAAGGTTTCAATCTAATGTAAAGTATTTTATTTAGCATCTGGAAACCAAAAGACAGACTGAGAGACAGGGTCAAAAACTACTTACACCTGCAATTTCGTAGGGTGGGGTGTAAATTTGTATGCTTTACAGATGGGGATCTAAAATGTTTTTATGATATCTAACAATTCATGATATGAAGGGTTGGGACTTGTCCCCCTGTGACAAAATTTTTGGTGTACTAGAGAGGTCATCACAACAGTTAAGAATATAAACTGTTCAATTCTTTAGATATTTAACAGTTTATTAATGAGGGACTGGGACATGACCAGTTACATGAAAGTGTTCCTAAAAAATAGTTTTACCTTCAGATCATTCAAGGTCAAAGGTTATCTTCAATGGTCGAAGACTGTGCCCAATATATCAAAAGCCTATGTTAAAGGATAAAAAGTAAATTTCCCCAATAATCATATATTCTTACCTTGAGGTCAAAGGTAAATGTCACATGAAGGTCATTAAGATAAGCAGCACACTTTATTATGGTAATAGTACACCTTCATACCAAATTTCACAAGTCAATGTAAACAAGAGTTTAACTTAAACAAGATCTTGTCTTGCTGATCATTTTTGTTATTTGAAACTTCAAGTCATCTATTGTAATTTTCAAGATAATAGGCAAAAATGAAAAAAAAACTGGTAGAATTTGTCATATAAAGCCAATAACTCTAGAAGTCATCTGACAGTTTTGATATAAATGAGCAGTAGATAGATCTGAACATTCTGAACATTTTTGGCCCTATTAGATTTTCTCTATCCATACAAGTTTTCAAGTAAATAGACAAAACTTGCTGAGTCATCATACAATCTTATTTTACCAGATACCTCAATGATGATTGTGACCAAGTTTGATTCCAGTAGTCTCAGAGAAGATTTTTGTAAAAGTTAACTAACAACGACAGATGACAAAGACAGACAACGGACTCCAAGTGATGGTAAAAGATCACATTGACCCTTCAGGCTAGGTGAGCTAAAAAATGTAACACTACTAGACTAGGTTGTAAAGGAACAAGAAGAAGAAATACTAATTAAAACAATTTGTCTTTGTTTGTAGAAGACAAGACATAAATACAATGATAATCTGAGTAGCTGACACATATTTACCTTGAATTTCTCACTTAAAACTCCTCTGAAAATATATTAAAAAAAAATAGATTAAATCAAGAGTAATAAGGCAGTACAATCTTTTAGTTGATAGTGTTAAAAAAAGTTATATGCCAATGGCTATCAATATTATTTAAGTACGAGGACTTTCAATACTAAGGTAAAGAATTTTTCCTCAAATCTTTGAACAATAACTATAAATTTTCAGTCAATATAACCCCCTAAAATGAATCAAAGAGTGCACAACAAAAAATGCATTAGTTCATAATTTTATATACTAAACTCATATAACAAGAACATAATGTCAAAAAATGAACAATGAAAGAGAGATCAATAGTTAGTTGACCTCTGTAAAACATTACATATTAGACATTTATTTAATTGTACACTCTAAAACTGTCTCCAGAACAGGACAAATACACACATCACTTCCATAGTTACAAGTCCAAAATATCTATTCTTCTAAAGCAAACAACTATCAATCAATCTAAATACATTTTCACAGCATCATTGACTCCTATTCCAATCTATTCATTAATACTGAATAGTATAAAAAAAATTCTAAATGTAAAAGGCATGACTCTGGGATTTGTTTCATGAATATCTGATGAAGCCTGTAGGAGTTGAGACCACAAAGTGCATGGTGAATAGTATCAAATATTGTCTGAGATTTGTCATTGGATCAGAATGCCCTACTAATATGTGCATCTTCATGTTACAATCTTACAATGTATATGGAACGCCATGACTGTCTTCTGATGTTGATTGTTTAATATGTTCGGTGCTTTATGCATTATGTTCAGTAGTTTTCATATTCTGTTCAGTAGTTTTGACATTATGTTCAGTAGTTTTGACATTATGTTCGATGCTTTGGTTACTATGTTCAGTAGTTTCATTATTATATGCAGTGGTATTTAAATTATGTTCGGTACTTCTGACGTTATATTCAGTGCATTTTTCATTATGTTCAGTACCATCGACATTATGTTCAGTAGATTCAATATTATTTGCAGTACATTATGTATTACCTTCAGTAGTCCCGGTTTCTTTGTATTTGGTAGATTATTCATTATGTTCAGTAAAAGCATCAGTATTATACTCGGTTCAATGAATTATATGTTCATTAGTTGTATCATTATGATGATGCAGTGAAAGTCGAGAAATCAATAACAGAAATTTTCAGAAAAAAAACGAACGCAGATATTTTCAACGGACGTTTTCTTCATGGACACTTTTACGGGATCAGGAATGAAAATATAAGAAATGGAAGCAGTATTAAATTGGTTTGGTTTACTTTGACACGTTGGCAAATTTCACAAGGAAAAATACTCCTGACTTTATTTGTAATATGTCATGATTGATTGATTGTTTGTTTTTTTCTGAACGTACAGTAGCAAATATTTCACGCATATTTATGACAAAGAGGATGAATTTTCAAATAAGAAATAAGAAGTTGCATGCGTTGTCGTTGATACACCATGACCATAGAGAGACGACAAAAAGACAAACAGCAAAAAATAAAATATAAAAATATATTCTATAGCTTTTGTATTCCTAGTTGGTAACCCTTTTTGTTGGTTGGTTGTAGCATATTAATCTCATGCACCAACTTTTAAGAGACCACGAAAAATCTCCTTGCAGATACTCCTATAGTATTCTGCATCCTACCCCGCTAATAGGCGATTAAATATCAGATATTTATTTGAAATAACCCAAGATAAATGAGGTTGTGGATGAGGTGTACAGAATAGAGAAAGTTGATTCACAAATATGACCATATCAATGATAATTCGTGGTGGCACGGATTAGCCTTGAACCTGTATCTGGATATTGTCAATCTATTCCACTTCATTCTGGCTATCTCTGGTGGATCTAGAAATATGTTTTTAAACGCTCTGTTCAAGAACGAATATTAAGTTATTGGTTTGGGTAGTTTCTAGTCTCTTATTAAACAAAAGGGGTCATGTTTTATGCATTACTTTAAAATAATAAGAACCATAACTGTACAGAAATGGTGAAAATTTTCACATAATTAAAGTAGTGCACTTTGTATTTTGATATTCATTACCTGTCCAATAGACAGTCTATGGTAATCATATTTACACTTAGACCTAGTTAGTTTTTGTGTATACAGCTTGAATTTGGAAGATTAAAAATCTTAATAAATGATTTTAAAATGACAATCATACTGATACTCAATGTTCATTATTTGTAGCGCTTTGTACAATATTTCATTCTATACCCTTGCATACCAGCATAAATTTCCATGTAGCTCTTTGAATGTATGAAATTTATGACTAGTTGTTTTCTGGTTTTTCTGCTATTGCAGATCTTTTTGCTGTCAGTTTTTTCTGAACTCTATCACAAACTGTTTTATTATTGTTGTAATAATTTCTGACACAATGCAGGAGAAGAATGTAAGATTATCTTTGTCTGCAATAGTGGACGAAATAGTACGTCAAGATTTGTTAACTCGTGCAAGATCGTGATTTTCGAGGAAAATATCGAAAGTACATAATTTGCATGGTAATATCAATGAACCAGTTCTGATAACGACCAGCTCAACATTTCATTCCATATCAATAATTAATTCGGTATGCAGAAAAAGTTTAGTTATACTGTTCATCATTTAATTCTGTAGGTTGCACTTTGTAAATCACGTGTGATTTGCAAGTTACGCCTCTTTTGGGGAGAAATTAAATATGCATATCAATACTGCTACTGTTTACATAGTTGTTGCCATGGATGCAAACTATTTTTTTTTTAATTAAGACTTGATTGGAGATTTAAATGGATATAAATAAAAATGTCTATTTATTTAACTTATTTTTCAGGAGGACTGGAAGACATTTGGGTGTTGAGTCAAATTTAATGGAAAAATTCAGTGCGATCCTGCAATGTTTACACATGGAGGCCAGTAAAACTTGAAAATATGCCGCACAGCTATATGTTTTTATTGGTGCAAAAAAAAGTAGTGCATGTCTCCTTTCCAGGGAAATATAACATTCTCCTCAAAACTTCCTGAATGAAGTGTGACTGCATATGCATTTTATGCAGTTCCTATGGAAAATTGCATTGCTGGATTTACACAAGTGCAACCTATAAGGTAAATAATGGGAATTCATCACTCAGCCTCCCTGGGAACCAAATTTTGGACCCCTTTTGGGTTTTCATTTTGCAGAAACAACATGGAATCATTTTGGAATGCATTGGCTTTAGCTTTGTCTAAGAAAAGTGAAAAAAATTATGGAAATTATGACTGTACAGTGTGGATAGGAGCTTTGGAGCATGGGGTCTATGGGAAAAAAGTTGTTAATTGGCCTGATGGCACTAGAACTCTTGAAAGAGCTCACAGATTATCTTATATGCTAGATAAAAGAATATTAAAAGAAAATCTTCCCCGTTACTCTCCAAACGGTGATAATTTAGATATTTCACACCTTTGCCATAACCCTAAATGTATAAATCCAGAGCACCTGATTTTAGAGCCGCACAGTATAAACATAGATAGAATTTTCTGTAGACGGATAAAACGGTGTACAAAAAGTCATTTACCGTATTGTCTTATCTGATGCAGGTAATTTATTTATTTTTAACATGTCTTGATCTGAGTTTTTTGGCAAACGAATACTCTTGAGGCTGTTTTGCGGCCAGCCGTTTTGTCGGTAAAAGTTTGTTTTTCTCATAGTCTTTTTCCTCTTGATATTCATCATATATTTCATAGAGTTCATGCTTTTTTGAGCATCTCTGGTCTGTGTACCGCTTTGACTGTTTGTATAATTTATGTTTTTCATTGTGTCGTTGAATATTTTTCAGACCTCGTGCAGCACGACTTCCCGGTTCAATGGGAACCCCAGCCGCTTTACAGAGTTTAACGATGGATTCTCCAGGGCCATTATTTACATTGTGTATAGCTGTATGTACCCTTCCTTTGTAGTTTCTGGTAAATGTTACATTGCTAGGTACAGTTGCACGTATTGCACGGTTAGTTGCTTCAGCTTTTTGTGTGTTAGTGTTTTTGCATGTACGGTTTAGCATGGTAGGTCCAAGTCGATATTTTACGCATTCACGTAACAATGCTGCTGTGTTCTCTGATTTATTTAATTTGAAGTTATTTTTAAGATAAGCTGATTTTTCAGTCCATGTCTTCAAACTATTCCTATTTGAACAAACAAGGGAATATTTTGTACACCCATTATGATCTCCCTGATAGCAGGAAACTATAGCATGACATGCGTATGATAGGTGAACTTTTATCCGTACCGAGTCCATATTGAATCTTTCAAAGGCAGCATTGTATTCTGCCTGACAACGTGCTGCCATATCTAATGCAAACCTTTTTAGCATTTTATCTTTCTCTGAAACTAATCGTGCCAGCATTATTTCCTTCAGACCTGACATTTTTTTAATAAAATTTCTATGATTTGCGGACACATGTCTTGTATCTAGAAAATGAATTGGTTGAGTATTGGTAGTACCAGCTTTAAAAAGAGACTCTGCAGCCCTAAATGCACTGCTGTCAGGGTCAGTAGTAATTTCTTGAACTTCAAGACCATCATTTTTCAGGTCTAACAAGCAGTCTTTAGCCCATCGCTCCTCACTGCCTATGCTGTCATGCATTTCAATGTTTGCGGAACAGTGACCCATGTGAGATTTAACTTTTGTTTTTGTGTTATGTTCACTCTTATTTGAGCATAGCTTAGAAACTTGTCTTGTGCTTACTATACTGTGCTTATAAGTATTATTTTCTAACATGTTGTATGTACATTGAGTAGCTGGTTGAAATGGTGTTTTACCCATTCCGGAATAAATAGGGTTATTATACATTCCGTCGGCCTGAATGTTAATAATATTAGGATTATCGCCTCTCAATATGTTTATTTCCTTTAATAATTTTCTTTTCTGAGCCAAATCCTTTTGATTGTACTCTTCTATAATTTCAGAAACAACATTAGCACTGTGTTGCATACTTGAAGTGGAAGGAGCTGGTATATTAGAACCAAGAAATAATTTCTGTAGACCAGTTGTGCTGATAGCTATGTGATTAAGTGCGACTTGTATGGATAGATTAATAGCTGCTGTTCGACGACCACGTTTCTTAGCGACCACCTCATTGTAAAGGTTGAACATTTTTGAATGGTAAGAACACTCATTGCAGCTTGCCTTTTCCCTCCAGGCAGCTCCTCTTTGCTGCTCTGCACTTAAATCCCATGATATGAACCCAGTGCACATAGGGGATTTTTGTTTGTGTTCTATGAAAACCTCATTCCACATCTGTTCCAGTTCATTGATGCGAAGGAGTCGAAAACTATTTTTCTCTGACCTGAAGTTGAAAAATGTTGCCAAAATTGAAATGAATTAGTTTTCTTGGTCAAAAACTAATGTTTTGAAAATGTGAAAATAATTCTATTTTGAATTACCTCCCTTACAATGGTGTTTTCTTTAAATAAGCTTTTTGACAAAATTTACTTTCAAAAGTGAATATTTTTTTCTTTGTCTGTGTTTTTATATATTAAATATATAAAAACCATGCACAATTTAGCTTGTAAAAATATATATAGGACTAGAAATTTTAAAATAAGTATAATCCTAGCTTGCATTTTCTTCAGATGTCACATTTTGAGAATTGGCATATAAGACACATGCCTATTTCTTCATAGTTGTTAATAAGTGGCTTTTTTAAGCAAGTTTAATTATTTTTGAAAGCTTAATAACAAAAAAAGTATTCTTACCCTGTTTTTGTTTCATTTTCAGCACATTTTTCAACTTCTGTTTTTGTCGGAGGCTTCGGCCTTAGAAAGCGAGCTGACTTTGTAGAGGCAGGAATTACTTGAACATTCTTTTTATGAACAGATTTAGTCACTAAGTCATACAAGTCTTTTGGTAGTCTCACAAATTTGCCTTTTTCAGCAGGTAAAGTCTTATTTCTGTATTTTTTCCCCTTATTATATGGCTTGTTTCCTTTCTGAAATGTGTATTTCCTTAGACGCCATGGGATTAGACCCATTGTTATAGTAAGAATTGTTTGAAATGCACTTTATTCCAGTATTTCAATATTTAAACATCAAATATAGGACCTTACAACTAAAAAATCATTAATGACTAAGTTTTTTGTTTATATCTGATGGTACTGAAGGTGACCCCAGATGTATGATTTTTTATATAAATCATATAAAAATCATCAAGATGGCCAATCACATTTTTTTTTAATTTGACAAGTTCATTTAATTTGACCTCTCTTCATTTTATATTTTTATCAGTGCTGACAGGCTTGTGTGCTATAACATAAACAGAAAGGAAAGATAAGGTGTATGATTTTGTTATAGGGATATTTTTTGTAAGCTTGTATGACAACTTTTTATGCATTTTATGGTATAGTACAAAAAGAAGACAATATTCTACAAAATAGACAGATTGCAGAAAAACTAACCATGATTCAAATTGCTATTACATCAAGGCACAAGAAAAACACAAATATATAATGAGATTATTAAGAAGACAAAAAAAATAATATATTGCATACAAAAAAAAAATATAGTGAAAAGGAAAAAAACACACCTTGCCGCAAACTGGGTATAGTTACTAGAAGTACTAAAAAAAAACAATAATGAATAAACTACCATTGTAACTTAGTATTTTCTATTACTTACATAAATAACAACAAGAATATAAGAAAATTTTGACCCTAAAAGGGGTTTGAAAGTACAGTATAGGTTGCACTTTGTAAATCACGTGTGATTTGCAAGTTACGCCTCTTTTGGGGAGAAATTGAATATGCATATCAATACTGCTACTGTTTACATAGTTGTTGCCATGGATGCAAACTATTTTTTTTTTAATTAAGACTTGATTGGAGATTTAAATGGATATAAATAAAAATGTCTATTTATTTAACTTATTTTTCAGGAGGACTGGAAGACATTTGGGTGTTGAGTCAAATTTAATGGAAAAATTCAGTGCGATCCTGCAATGTTTACACATGGAGGCCAGTAAAACTTGAAAATATGCCGCACAGCTATATGTTTTTATTGGTGCAAAAAAAAGTAGTGCATGTCTCCTTTCCAGGGAAATATAACATTCTCCTCAAAACTTCCTGAATGAAGTGTGACTGCATATGCATTTTATGCAGTTCCTATGGAAAATTGCATTGCTGGATTTACACAAGTGCAACCTGTAATCACTTTTTTTTTGTTTTTTTACCTTTTTCCAAAGTTTTAAAGATTTTTTTTTTTACATTTTAATTTTAGCACCCCTTTATTCTGTATTCTTTATTTTTTGTCCACCTTCTCTTTTTTGGGGGGTAGGGGCATTATTCTCTATTCTGTAAACTTCATCCACAACCTCTTATATCTTGGGTTATTTCAAATAAATATCTGATATTTAAACGCCTATTAGCGTGGTAGGATGCAGAATACAATACGAATATCCAGAAGGAGATTTTTGGTTGTCTCTTAAAAGTCCGTAAGTCGGTGCATGAGATTAATATGCTGCAACCAACCAACAAAAAGGGGTTACCTTATAAGAATACAAAAGCTATAGAATATTTTTTTATATTATTTTTTTTTTGGTGTTTGTCTTTTTGTCGTCTCTCTATGGTCATGCTGTATCAACTACAACGCATGCAACTTCTTTTTTTTTGTTTAAAAATTCTTTTCTCCTTCATAAATGTGCGTGAAATATTTGCCACTTTACGTTCAGAAAACAACAATCAATCAATCATGACATCTTACAAATTAAGTCAGGAGTAATTTTTTCCTTGTGAAAATTGCCAACGTGGGAACGTAAAACAAACCAATTTAATACTGCTTCCATTTCTTCCATTTTCATTCCATCCCGTAAAAGTGTCCACGAAGAAAACGTCCGTCAAAAATGTCAGCGTTCGTTTTTTCCCGACAATTTCCGTTATTAATTTTTACTGCATCATCATAATGATACAACTACTGAACATATAATTCATTGAACCGAGTATAATACTGATGCTTTTACTGAACATAATGAATAATCTACCGAATATAAAGAAACCGGGACCACTGAAGGTAAAACATAATGTACTGCAAATAATATTGAATCTACTGAACATAATGTCGAAAGTACTGAACATAATGAAAAATGCACTGAATATAACGTCAGAAGTACCGAACATAATTTAAATACCACTTCTTATAATAATGAAACTACTGAACATAATTGCCAAAGCACCGAATATAATGTCAAATCTACTGAACATAATGTCAAAACTACTGAACAGAATATGAAAACTACTGAACATATCATAAATACTACCGAACATAATGCATAAAGCACCGAACATATTAAACAATCAACATAAGAAGACAGTCATGGCGTTCCATAAATGTACATCATTTTATGATTATCTGATGAAGCATGTATGAGGAGTTGTGTCCATAAACCAAATAAAAAATAAATTAGTTAAGTGGGCATTATTCCAGAAGTTCTTAATGGAGAAAAAAACATGGTGCAAGGTTCACACATCATATCTGTAATTGTACAAAGTTTGGTTTTAATTGGACTCAAAAGATAGTTTTGACAGATGGACAGACAGGAAGGCAGAAAAACTTTATTTGCAAGGGTATAATAAAACTTAATATTTACATACTCGGTATAGTAATTACATGTACTGCATATTACAATCGCCTAGTTATGAGGCCTGATAATGAGGTCATTGGACAGAGACTTCGAATAAGCATCTATATATAAATGCTTAATAACTTTCCAGAATAAATTCCTCAGTAGTCAGCTTTGTACAAAAGTTGATCCATTTTTGTTTTGATGCTAGAATATCACACAATATCTTGACTTCAGAAATATTTGTCCCAAAAGGAGACAAATGATCAAGATCAGTGAAAAATTAAACGTTAAATATATAATATTTGAGGACAAATAAATATACTTTTGCCCCTTTGGATCTCTTGTTTGAAGCCATATTTCTTATTTGGAATAAATAGTTTTTGTTACATTTGTTGTTGTATTTTAACTATAAATCTTTTTTTTAAATGTGTGAGTCTTCAAAGGAAAATGTGTGTTGCCTGCTGACTCCTAATAGTATAAGCAGAAATGGCAAAGTCAATGTTTTATGATTGAATACCAAAAATATCAATCCGATCAAAAATTTATATAGCAGGTACACAACCACGTGTCCTGTAGCAACCTGTGCAACTTTTGTGAAATTCTGTTCAGCTGCTTAGGATTTGCAGATTAATGTACTGATTTATGCAAAAGTGTTTGGCATGGGAAGCCTAAACAAGAGGTCATTTTGGTATTCATATTTACCTTTATTGTAATCAGTTATGTTTGCTTACCAGCTGTGTTAACTATCAAATTAAGTCACCCATTAATTGTGTGGCTTCATTTGACAGCTTTGGTGTCAAACACACTGTTAATTAACACCAATTACCCTAGCCTAAGGTCATAAATAATGTGTGTATTTGGAAGATGTTTGACAATTCAAGTTAATCCCCTTGGCGAGACATATATTATGGTTAAATATATGTCTTGCCATGGGACTGCAGATAATTCAGAAAAAGATAATCTCATGGATAGCAACATTGCTAATTAATTCAAAGTCCCTGGAGCATGAACTAGGGGGTAGGACCTTGAAATGGTCGATGAACTTAGATGTACTGATAGTAACTTTATAGAAAATATCATTGTAGTTTCTATCAAACTAACTTCAGCACAAAACTTAACATTGAAAATTGCTTATCAATTGAAAGTCCACTAGCGGATTTAGGGGGGGTTTGGGGGGTTCGGGAAAACCCCCCCCGCTTGAAAATCTTGAAATATTTGTGAGCAAAAAGCATACAATCATTTAATAATTTCTTTTTTTAATGTTATCTTTATTAAAAATTGAATATTCGGTGAGTACTTAATTGGGTGACACGTTGTTGCTACACTTCTTTAAATACACACATGTCATAATTACATTGGCCTGGGGGAAAATAATTGGAGGACCAAAGGATTTAATTTAGACCATCCAAGGCTGCTATCCTATATTTTATTACTTTGTTGGTTTAATAATTAAAACGACGTTTTCTGATAGCTTGATTTGAAGAAAAATACTTTCTCACTCTATAATATCCATAAGATTTTTTTTATTATTTTTTTTAAATTCTGCAACTGCTGCGACACCTGCTGAATCTAAAGATATTGCAAACTTTATTTCCACATCTGTACCTAGTGCTGATATGTATAGCATTCTAATTGAAAACTGGCAACCACTTATCATAGTTTTTTTTCCTTTTCCTAAACGAGAAATGTACGGTTTAAAAGATGCTTCAAATATGCGTGGCTGCACTATTACCCATGGATTGTCTATTTAACTTCACCGACGGAATTTACTTCAAATTTTGCGTTTTGTTTGCTACTGACCACAACCTCGGAATTTTTCAGAATTTGGTAAAGGTAAATGGTGAATGTAAATTTCACGGAAACACAGAATACCACCAAACAGCCTTATTTAGAGAATTACAAGACTTTCAGCTCTTTCAAACTCTTAAAGACCTATTTGCGATCAACCATGACAAGCGAGAGACTCAATGGCCTTGCCTTAATGCATATTCATATCAGCACGGAAATTGTCAAAAGTGCAGTGATCGATCAGTATGCTAGAGCCTATAACATCAGGATGAAACTACCAACAATAGACTTTTTAGGATAACTTTGTACATTCAATGTTTGCCAATTTTCATTTATTGAAGTATTTTTATCTGGAATTAAAAAATCAAACTAATCTAAAAATTCAATTTTGAGTAACCATATGACGGATGAACAAAAAGTGTGCCAATTATTGTAAAACATAAGGTTTGGTATCACAATTAAGAAAACTTCTATAATGTTCAAAAATGCTTCTCAAAAAAACCCCCGCTTTAAGCTCTGGATCCGCGCTTGAATGTCTCTGCACCATGGCCTACGGGCATGGCCACGAAATAGTCATCAAACTGATATGTACTGATAGTAATGCAACTTTATAAAAAATATCATTGATCTATCACAAGTAGTTCTTATCAAATTGACTTCAGCAAAAAAGTTAACAATTTTTCTGTCTACCGGAAGTGTAATCATCTTCAAGTTATCTCCCTTGGCCCACTTCTGCCAGCATGGACATTGCCCTCCCCCTTACTTATAGTCCCCTGATGTTGCCAGGTGGAATTTGGAAGATTTTATAAAATGGTTATCAAGTGAACCTGGCCTCGAAAACCATAAAGATGTAACCATAGGCAAAAAGAGAATTGTTCATAGGTTTGAACTAGAGTTCTGATGAATATTTTCTTGGGTAAAAACGACTTGTAAAATAGGGGGGATGAGATGTAACGTTTAATCAACAAAAAAGGTCTGGGCTATCTGAAATAATTTAAATATCAAAATTAACTTCCAGGTATGTATTCTTATTTTTTTATACATGGTTTCAATTACCTATCTTTTGCAGAGAGATGAAGTTCTTTTAGGATAAAGAGAGCTTCACCCCCAATCTCTTTGCCTTGTTTCTTCCTTTGCCCACTCTTGAAGGCCTAAGTAGAATTGTGATGAATTTGAAAGCACTTTCACTAGGGAACCCCTGTCAAATTTTTTTTAAAAGAGGGTGGGTGGGAATTTAAAAAAAAAATTCTAGGGAACACCCTGCCCATTTAAATTATTTTATCATGGGATACTGTAAATTCAGAAATTATTGCGAGGTTTTTATTAATGCGAATAATGGGGCTCGTCGAGTATCGCAATATAAGAACTCGCATTTTGATAACTAAACCATAGATCTGTATGTAGATTTTTCTAAAATCGCAATAAGTAAACTCGCATTCTTGTCCATTTTTGAAAAATCGCAATAATAAATGCACGCAATAATTTCTGAATTTACAGTACCCAGGACCAAAAATAAAATCATTTTTCCTGTAGTATAATAAGTGAACCCAAATAATATAACCTTTCTCATTTTTTTTTGTTTGTTGGCCAGACCTAAATTTACTATACTTTTTCCATCCTGCTCCCTCCCTCGTAAATTTTAGAGGAGAAAAGAAATAAAATTATAATACTGCCATTCTATGTTTCCATGCTTCATTTCAATGCTGGAGTAGTTACAGATTTTAAAAATCAGGACTGCTTGCTTTATGGCCATAAAAATTCACAATATGATTACTCAAAAATAAAAAATGAACCAATCAAACTAGAATTTTTCAATATACATGTATGCTCTGAACAAGAATTCTTTACTAATTATAACACAGAGAGACCAAACATTGCAGACATTTAAAAAACAAAACAAAAAAAAGATATACAGTTTATGCAAGCAGGACTCCCTTGAAAAACTAATAGTGATATATTTTGCTCCTGTGGGTTAGCATATCTTACCCTGCATGCAGGAAACTTTATTTAATAGATATCAATAATAAGTTGTACCTTTGTATACAATCCATCAGCTTATATAAAACTCACAGTAAATGCAACATTTAAGAATTAAACATTTTTTTATTTAATTTTATGCATGGTGGTTAGATTTTCCACTTTTATTTTGTGCATGATGGGGGTAGTAGGTAATTAAAATTAATGCATGGTATGTGCAAAAAAAAAGTGCCTTCCGACCCCCTCATACATTTAATTCTGGAACAGCCCTAAGTATTTGTGGTAAAGATTTTCCATAAATACTTTTATCCCTATGGAAAACTTGACAAAACATGGGACTACTTACTTTCTCATACAAAAGACACTTGATACAACTGTTGTACCTGATAGAAGTAGATCAGGGTTTACAACAATTAGTCCATTAGTGTCTGTGATATGATATGTGTTTCCATCAAAACTTCCAAGAATATTTACAATATCATTTTCAGAAACATGTGTATCCGCCCTAAAAGTAAAAAAAAGACAATTCTTATTTTTATTTTACCAAATGATCCTCAAATTGTTTGTAGATGTCTTAATCACTAATCAGAAGCACATGGTTTGTTTGTTATGCATTGTACATGTGTTCATATTTACTACTTTATAGTATTCAAAAATTTAGTAAAGTTTTACCACCAACCAATGCATCTTACATGTTCTAATTTTGTATAATAATAATCAATGTAATGCTTTTCATTTTCTTCATTACATATGTATCAATAAACATGACCATTGGGAGTGTTTAACAAGATTATGTTTTGCAAGATTGTTTGAACAAATTTAACTTCTTGAAATTTTCATAATAGATACGTTTGTGGGACATGAATACTACAGCAGTGTTTGCAAAGAGATCTCCAGGACCATGCAAAAATCATCAGACCAAAACCAAATTCTAACTTGATCTGTAACTGGTCATGACAAAAACTATATTACCAAATATCAAATCAATATCTTCAAGTACAAAGAAATAAAGTGTGGAAAACTGATTTTCCGGACAGACGGATGGAGGGATAGAATGCAAACCTAAAATCCTCTTAGACTTCGTCAGTAGGCAACTAATAAGTCATTGTTGCACTCTTCCTGGCCAGTTCTTATAGTTATGTGTTTGGTTTTTATATCAAAATGAAACTAAGTTGAACTCTTTCAGACGAGTTCCCATAGTTATGTTTGGTTTCTTATCATAAACACATTGATCTGCATTTGAGGCCAAAAATAAGAAAATAAACTGAAATGAGGTGATCTAGTGATCACAAATATCTCAACACCCCCAAGAAAAACTGAACAGTAAGTGTCCACTTTCAAAGTTGAACTTGACTTGTATAAATATTATGGTCTAGGACATTATGATAAAATTCAAAAAGATTATTTTCATTTGTACTTAAGTATCATTGGAAGACCAAAAAAGACATATTTTAGTGGTATAACTCTTAACTGGTCAATGCCAAAACCATAACAATCTAAATGGACTTGTATTTTATATGGTTCATATCATATTGTTAAAAATTTAAAAAGATATTGTCAAGTGACTTTTTATTATCATCCGAAAACTTAAACTATACCATGTTTTAGAAAATTAGGGCATAACTCTTTCAATCAAAGTGATCAAAATTACTGGTGAAAAGATTGGTAGAGTAGTTTGAAAAAATTATAACTATATTTAGGTATGGTGTTGACAAAAAAACCTTCATATAGCACAATTTCAGACAGTTGCATTTACTGCAGTTCTTTAGAAACATGTTAGTACAAACCCGGTTATAAGTCAAATTCGGTAGGTCATATTCGGGAAAAGGGTGGACGGGATTGTAGTTACGACATTAGAAACATATCTGCTATCATCTGTGAAAGGGATATTTCATAACGTCAACCAACTCATGATGGCGTCCATAAAACGAAGGGATGATTTCAACTTCATCACTTGGAACTCTTGGTTTAATAGCTTCCTTGTGAGCAGCAACCCTCTATCAAGGAAATCATGATACGAAATACAAGCCCTGGAATATCATATCAACTGGGAGTTATATACTCCATATGCAGGCGCTGCTGGAATGTTGCTACATAGAAATGGAAAGTTCACAATTGGGAAGCTGAAATCATCTCTTTATTCGTAAAGTTTTGTTTTCAACCGACCCTCATTGTCAATTTCTAGATTTTAGTCAAGATATGAGGCAGACTTAACTGTATCTGTTGTATCCTTTATCCCAAGTTCGATGGGATAGATGCATTCAACATAGTCACCAAATTTTGAATTATTTAGTGAAAGAACATCATCTATATAGCGGAAATTAAAGTTAAAGGATACTGCTAACTTCTTTTCTTTCTTCCTAAGAAGTTCCTGTATGAAGTCAGCCTCATATGAATAAAGGAACAAGTCGGCAAGAAGAGGGGCACAGTTCGTTCCCATGGGAATGCTGATTGTTTGTTGAAAAACACGTCCTCCAAACTTAACAAATATATTGTCAATCAAGAAATCAAGCATCTTGATAATGTCATTTTCAGAGAATTTTTTGTTGGAATCAGAGTGATTTTTTACAAAGTAGGATTTATCCCTCTGGAAACTTCATAACATAAGGTATCTGCATACAAGATATGAAGCATCCAGGTCTTCTACCTTCTGAAATATAAAGCTTTATACAAATAGTTTATGCCGGATCGTAATACCTATGTCTTTCATGTCGCAGTCGCAGACGAGACCAAAAATTGTCTTTTTTTGTGTGTTTTTTCTTTAATCTAGCTTCTAAATGTAAAATATCAATGTGTTTACAGTACCCTTGTAGCATGTCTATTTGAATGATACCAGAAGAAAGAATACTTAAGAAGATTCTGTTCTGGTTTTACTTTTCATTTTTGAATGTTGACTGCTCCTGACAGTACTATGAGTTAACCTTTCCTTTGAGTACTAAGAGAAAATTTAAGCATACTGTTTTATTCATGCCTCATTATTTGAATTCAATTTCATTGGCCTAGATACAATATAGAAAGAAATATGCTATACATTTATGACATGATCATATCGCCTGTCGGCATAAAATCCACAAAAAGGCAATATGACGGACATCAACATTGCAAATTAATTCAAAGTAGCTGGACCATGAACTAGTGAGCAGGGCCTCAAAATGGTCAACAAACTGAGATGTACAGACAGTAATGTAACATTATAGAAAATATCTTTGTCTATTGTCATATCAAACTAACTTAAGCAGAAAACTTAACATTGAAAATTGGTAATTAATCAAAAGTCACTGAATCATGACCTATGGAGCAGGGAGTCGAAAAAGTTGTACTGATAGTTATGCAACTTTATAGATAATATCGTTGATCTATCACAAGTAGTTCCTATCAAACTAACTTACGCAGAAAACTTAACATTCAAAATTGTTAATTAATTGAAAGTCACTGGATCATAACCTAGGGGGCAGGGGATAAAATAGTCATCAAACTGATATGTACTGATAGTAATGCAAATTCATACAAAATATTAGTGATCTATCACAAGTATTTCTTATCAAACTAACTTAAGGAGAAAACTTAACAATTGTTGACGCCACCGACAACAATGTTGCCAGGAAAGCAATAACTTTTGTCTCGCCTTCAGTGACTTTCATCACAGAAAATACATAAATTAAAATAACAATAACAAGAATGTGTCCATAGTACACGGATGCCCCACTCCCACTATCATTTTCTATGTTCAGTGGACCGTTAAATTCAGGTAAAAACTCTAATTTGGCATTAAAATTGGAAAGATCATATCATAGGGAACATGTGTACTAGGTTTCAAGTTGATTGGACTTCAACTTCATCAAAAACTACCTTGACCAAAAGCTTTAACCTGAAGCGGGACAGACAGACAGACGGACGGACGGACGGACGAACGAACGGACGCACAGACTGTTAATAACTGTTTTGATGATTATAATGCAAATGACTTTAATTCTGTTGATAAACAAGAATGCATGTGTTGTCTGCTTAGCATAACCCCTCATAATTCAATGTATCAGAAATATAAAGCAGGTGTCTGACAGATCCCAACAGCACACACACATTACAACTCATCACTGTTGAACGGCTGACAAAATATAAAGTCATTCTGTTCGTAAGTATCAGAGAAAAGTGTGACAAAAAATTTAAGTTCATTCAACATACTGAAAAATTCAAAGTATCCGCAAACTGGAAGTAGGTATCTTAACATATAAAAAAAAATGAACACATATTTCAACTCATCAATGTCAAGTTGTTGATAAAATATGAAGTCATTGAGTTTTGTAGCTTCTAAGAAAAGGATGAAGAAAATTTGTCTTTGCACAAACAGACAGATGTACAAAGGAACAGACAGACAAGTGATTGCAATATAGCCCAACTTTTAGAGTGGGGGTATAACATGTATTTGACATGCTAAGGAGGGGATGTGAATTTTGAATAACATAAACTATGAAAATGAGGTCAAGGTCATATGAACTCTGCCAGACAGAAGTGTACATCTTACAATCATTCCATGCACCAAATGTGATTGACCTATTGCTAATTATACTATTTGAGAAAGGGACCTAACCACATATCTTAACATTGACCATTAAACCATAAAAACTAAATCAAGGGTCTGATGAACCCTACCAGACAGACATACTCACCATACAATCATTAAATACACCAAATAAAGTTGACATATTGCTTAAAGAATCTGAAAAAGGACATAACCAGGAAAACCTAAGTTGACCAATGAACCAAGAAAAGGAGGACAATGTCAAATGAACCCTTCCAAATGGACATGTACACTTAACAAGCATTCTGAGAGTATTGCATGGCAATACATAGTCCCCATCTTCGCTAGCCAAGGGTTACGATCCACTTCCCTCCTCTCCACCCTTGGCGGATTGAGATAGAATTTCGGAGACACAAGGTAGTGATTTTCATTGGTTGCAGTCGAAACTCACTGCATCCAATCAAAAAGCGCCTATAACATGATCACGTGTAAATGTAGAAAGTGTATGTAAACAATTGCCAAGTGCTTATTGTGCAACAAGTCTTTACATCCCTAAACATACGACTATATTTAGTGACAATTTGAATGTTTTTAATCAACTAATAGAAGTTCCTGTGTATGTTTCTTGCACAAATGCATTAATGTCAACGTATATTTTTCGTTTCCTGCTTTACCAAGTGTGTAGAATCTAGACGCTACTGTGTTTTTACCTCCAAATTGAAGAGTTCAAGTGCTACCATTGGTCAAGAATAATGTATTAGGAATGGGCGTGACTTTAATCTACCGATAGATGGTGCAACATTGTTATCACAAATGCTGGCTTAATCTGCCAAGGGTGGAGAGGAGGGAAGTGGATCGTAACCCTTGGCTAGCGAAGATGCATAGTCCCCTACCGGGTAAAAATTCATTTTACTGGAACAAAATGCTAACTTGTTCTATAACTTGTCATGGTGTAAACAAAAAGTAAATATCATGTCAATATCTTCAAGCAAAACTAAAAGCAGTGTGGAAAACTGATTATATGAGTGAAAAAAACATTAGATATGATTAATAGTTCTCTAAAATTAGATATGATGTAATACAGTGTATATCTATTTTCAAATTATAATCAAATATAATTAATAGTTCCAAATATTTTTTCTTTCATTTTTCACAAACTAATATAGATTTGTAACTTATCTATAAAATGTCAACAACTTTTATCTACACAATGTAATGTATTGAAATATATACATTAATAAAAATAGATTATTATCTAATTAAAGGATTTCTCTTCATAATTTTTTTTATATATATAGCATTCAGAAAATTAGTTTATACTAAATAACAAACAAACCTGCCAAAAAATTCTTCAAATAATTTAACAAAGAATGTAGTTTAAAAAATGAGTTATCTCCCTTTGTACAGAAATATGGGTTAACATAGTACTCTAACATTAGATATGGTCCAGAGTTATGGTCCATAACTCTGGACTAAATCATCAGACCGGAACAAAATTCGAACTTGATCTATAACTTGTCATGATAAAACTATATACCAAATATCAAATCAATATCTTCAAGAACGAAGAAAAAAAGTGTGGAAAGCTGATTTGCCGGACTGACGGATGGATAGACAGACAGATGGACAGACGGACGGAGTGAAAACCTAAAGTCCCCTTCGACTGTAGGGGACTGAAAAGCATTCCATACACAAAATATAGTCAAACTTTTGCTTATATAAAGCACACAAGAAACCGACCTCATTACTAAAACTTAACATTGACAAATTTATCATGAAAATGAGGTCAAGGTCAGATGAAGCAGGCTGGACAGACATGTACACTTTAATATCTACAAATATTATATACACCAAATATAGTTAACCTATTGCTGATAGTGTCTGAGAAACAGACTTAACCACATAATTTTGACCTCTGAACCTTTAAAATGAAGTCAAGGTCAGATGAACTCTTCGACATGGTCATGTACACGATATAATTATTCCATACACCAAATATATTTGACCTATTGATTAATTGGAACAGACTTTGTTGTTATGTGTTTTATATGATTTGTGCAGATCTGCTGAGTCCAGCCCTTTCCTAGTGATTTTTACAGATTGTTCTTATGCAGTGCTGTTATACCACGGTCCAAGGTTGAATACGAACACTGAAGTTATACTTTGATATCACTAACATAAATTTTTTTTAGTAAATTTGAATTTTAAGTCGCATATTTAAATCATACAAACCAAAATCCTGAAAGTATGCAGATTTTTTGTTTCTTTGTAAATATATCTGTTAACTGTAAACACAAATCATTTCCATTTCTGAAATAAACAATATGGACTATAATAACAAATCTCATGATGAAACTAAAATTGAATCACTATTCCTCTGATGTATATGTAATTTCCCAAACGTGCACAGAAGTAATTTTCTTACAATAACATAGTATCCCCAATGTTCCTCCTAAGTGTTTTACCAGATAAATAAACACGATAAATAGGGATTTTACTTATAAAAAATCAGTACTGTTTTCATTAACTTTTGAGTTTGGTTCCGAAGTTAACTGGATCGTGAAATTGATAAACAGTCAACACAGAGCACACACAGCACGTGGAGTACATGACAAATAAGTGAATTAATAGAGCCATGATATTTCATTTTAATTGTCCATGTGTTCACATTGGTTAATTTAACTTTTCCTAACTGTTTTTTTAAGTGTTAAATGATTTGTTGTATTAAATTTGTTCTTTAATGATATAGTTACTGTTAAAGAAGAATCTGCATTTGAAGGAGAACATCGTTTTGATAGAGGGCATAGTTCAAGAAGATTTGGTGCACGCAATCACATAGATAGATCATTTAATCAAAGAAATGCACAATCCAGACTTAATCTAACTATCAATGGCAGCACATCTCGTTGAAGATGTTGTGATTCAAAATATCACTGGTTTAGGGATTGTCCACATAAAACATATGATGTTAAAATGACAGAGGAACAAACAGACACATCTGAAACTGTAAACATAACTCTGATGACAACTTCACAACAAAACATTACACCTCAAGAAATTTTTGTAGCTGAGGCATTTAATGCTGCAGTTGTAGATACAGCATGTACCAAAACAGTTTGCGGGTCTAAATGGTTACATCAATTTTTAGACACTTCTGAAACTGAAGATGAAGAAATAAAAAGCAAGGAAAGTCATACACCTTTCAAATTTGGTGATGGTCAAACAGTGTATTCTTATCAGTCTGTAAAGTTACCTGCCACAATTGGATCTCTAAATTGTTACACAGAAACAGAAGTAGTTGATTGCAAAATACCTCTATTATTGAGCCAAGATTCTTTAAAAAGAGCACAAACAGTTCTTGATCTCCATATTGATAAAGTGACTATGTTTGGAAAACCAGTTGATGTTCATTTCACTTTAAATGGTCAATATTGCATAAACATTAAAGAAAGAAGAAATGGACAAAAAAATACTGCAGTGAGTGAGGAGGAAATCCTGAAGGTTGATTCTGGATTCTCTAAGAAAAGAAAGAAGAGATATTATATTAAAACTGCATAAACAATTTGGTCATGCTTCATCTGAAAAGTTGTTATCCCTATTGAACAGTGCAGGCTCAGTCGACTATGATACGAAGGTAATAGTGAATGATGTTTGCTCAAAATGCATTGTCTGTTTCAAGTTTCAACATCCAAAGCCAGTGGTGGCATTTTCCCATGCAAATGATTTTAACCAAATTGTTGCTATGGATTTACATGAAATTGATCATAATTTCTACTATTTGCACATAATTGACTTGTTTAGCCATTTGAGTGCAGCAGCCATTATCAGGAGAAAAGACTCACAGTTAGTTGTTGACAAATTCATGCAGATATGGGTTAGTGTATATGGTGCTCCTGAAGTTGGAGTATACACTGACAATGGCGGGGAATTCAATTCTAAATTTTTCGTGATATGGCTGTAAATCTAAAATGTCAGTTAAGACCACAGCAGGATACAGTTCCTGGTCAAATGGAATTGTAGAACGACATAATGCAACTCTAACTGAAACATTTAATAAAATCAGAGAAAGTTCAAATCTATCTTGGGAAACTACTATTTGCTGGGCTGTGAATGCCAAAAATAGTCTTGTAAATGTGTATGGATATAATCCTTATCAGATTGTGTTTGGAAGAAATCCTAACTTGCCATCAACACTAGTGAATAAACCTCCAGCTCTTGAAGGAGAAACAATGAGTAAAACAATGAGTAAAACAATGAGAAAACACTTAGTTGGTCTTCACGTGGCAAGGAAAGCATTTGCAGCATCAGAATCCCCAGAGAAAATTAGACGTGCTCTTCGAAAGCAGATTTGTCCTTCAGGTGAAAAATTTTAGAAATGGATTCTTAGAGATAATCAATGGAAAGGACCTGGTACAGTAATTGGACAGGATAATGCTGTGTTTATAAGGTATGGAGGAACTTGTGTAAGAATGCATGAATTTAGGATTTTAAGAGATTTTGATAAACAATGTGAATAATCAAGGGCATGAATCTGGAGAAGGAAGTCAATCAGGAGGTTGAACTGGAAAATGATAATCCTGCAAATCAAATGCATGGAATTACTCTGGATCATGAAGATACTCCATTGAGAGACCAAAGCAATGAACATGCAACTTCTCTAGACGTCAGTAGAAGTGTTGAATCAAAGAGTAATAAGGCTATACTTTTAAACTAGAGGCTCTAAAGAGCCTGTGTCGCTCACCTTGGTATATGTGCATATTAAACAAAGGACACAGATGGATTCATGACAAAATTGTGTTTTGGTGGTGGTGATGTGTTTGTAGATCTTACTTTACTGAACATTCTTGCTGCTTATAATTATCTCTATCTATAATGAACTTGGCCCAGTAGTTACAGTGGAAAATATTTTGTAAAAATTTACAAAAATTTACAAAATTTATGAAAAAATTGTAAAAAATTGACTATAAAGGGCAATAACTCCTTAAGGGATCAATTGACAATTTTGGTCATGTTGACTTATTTGTAGATCTTACTTTGCTGTACATTATTGCTGTTTACAGTTTATCTCTATCTATATATTCAAGATAATAACCAAAAGCTGCAAAATTTTCTTAAAATTACCAATTCAGGGGCAGCAACCCAACAACGTGTTGCCTGATTGGTCTGAAAATTTCAGGGCAGAAAGATCTTGACCTGATAATCAGTTTTACCCTGACAGATTTACTCTAAATGCTTTGGTTTCAGAGATATGAGCCAAAAACTGCATTTTACCCTATGTACTATTTTTAGCCATGTCGGCCATCTTGGTTCGCGGGCGGGGTCATCGGACACATTTTTTAAACAAGATACCCTAATGATGATTGTGGACAAGTTTGGTTAAATTTGTCTTAGTTGTTTCAGAGGAGAAGATTTTTGTAAAAGATTACAAAAATTTACGAAAAATGGTTAAAAATTGACTATAAAGGGCAATAACTCCTTAAGGGGTCAACTGACCATTTTGGTCATGTTGACTTATTTGTAGATCTAACTTTGCTGAACATTATTGCTGTTTACAGTTTATCTCTATCTATAAAAATATTCAAGATAATAACCAAAAACGGCAAAATTTCCTTAAAATTACCAATTCAGGGGCAGCAACCCAACAACAGGTTGTCCGATTCATCTGAAAATTTTCAGGCAGATAGATCTTGACCTGATAAACAATTTTACCCCCGTGTCAAATTTGCTCTAAATGCTTTGGTTTCAGAGATATATGCCAAAATCTACATTTTACCCCTATGTTCTATTTTTAGCCATGGCCGCCATCTTGGTTGGTTGGCCGGGTCACCGGACACATTTTTTAAACTAGATACCCCAATGATGATTGTGGCCAAGTTTGGTCAAATTTGGCCCAGTAGTTTCAGAGGAGAAGATTTTTGTAAAAGTTTACGGACGACGGACGAAGGACGCAGGACGACGGACAACGGACGCAGGACGACGGACGACGGACGCAAAGTGATGAGAAAAGCTCACTAGACCTTTCAGGTCAGGTGAGCTAAAAAAGGGGGTTTCCAACTCCCGGAACCCCCCCCCCTGGATCTGCCACTGGACGGATACGTAAATTCCGTGTATGTTTGCAAAGCATGAATGAGTGTCAGTAGCTCTTTCTACGTTATTTCTTCAAGAAAATATTCGAAATAAACTTGAGATAAAGGTATCAATGACAATTTGAGCATTTTTTGAAGAATTTAGAATGCATAATTAAATTTCACACTTGCGCATGTGCGCATACGTGTACTAGTTCAAACAGAGACATGTCTCTAGTTCAATCAACGTGGTTATGACGATTTTTCAATTTCACTTTTTTAATTTTTTCATCAAATAATATTTATCAATGTATTTCTGATAATTTAAATCTTTTTGACTAATTTAATTAGATGCAAACCGCTGAAATGTAAGAAAATAACTTTGAATAGACTGATCAATGTCCGGTTCAAAATAGTTTACCTGTCACCTGAACAGGTAAATTTCAGCTGTTCGACAACTAATTAGCCTTGATTAATATGAGAAGGTATTCAAGTAGGGGTTGTTTTGATAGTACTTAATGATCATGTCACTTTTATGACCAGAAATGTGTGGCTGTTAAAGGCAAAAAGATCCCGAGTTATGTTAAAATATCCGTCTGTTAAGAAAGCCTTGAAAACTAAAAAGTAGATGACCGTTTCATGCTTTGCCCAGCCGGACTTTTACCGGACATTATACAAATGTCCGGAATATATGACCATTTTGCAAGCCTTGTTTGAGACTGGACTTGTCTATTTACAAATTACAGGAAACCAGATTATTCAGGGTCCGGTTTACCCAGGTTTGACTGTAATCACATTTTCCGCATTAATAAAAACAACCAAAAGACAAACAATGTTCAGGCCAAAATAAATAAATCGTGTGTTCCCTATTTCACCTTCAGGTAGGTAAAACATTTTATTTTACTAAAACATTTTATTCTTTTTTATTTTGTTAACAGCAGAAAAAGGTTCCAAATCAAATCGTTGATGTGCCACATTTGCCAAATTTTTTAATATTTAGAATAGTTCTCAAATCTACAGCCTTTTTAATTTTCAGTTTTTGTTCTGTGAACAAAATATGAAAATAAACTCTTTGTCTTAAATAATATACTAGTCAAATAAATTGCAGATATAAATATGACATGATTTTTTTTCCTATTTTCTTGTCTAAATTGTTATATGGGACCAGCCAGAGGAAATATAAAAAAATAAAAATTGACATGGTGCCGGGGCAGATTCATCTATAAATGAACATGAATCATACAC